GCACGGTGCCAAGCTGCAGTTACATAATCATGACGTCACTGTGTACAGTTTGGTTCTCTAGGAAAAACATAGCAACTTTTGGCAGCAGTACACGTGAGAAAGCCCAAATAATTTTTTCTGGCCCTATAGCAAGACTCATTTTTTTAAAGTCTGTTTTCTTTCTTTTGTTCATACTGGGTAATTTCTATTGTTCTTTCTTCAAGTTCACTGATTCTTTTCTCTCTTCTCTTCATTCTGTTGATTGAGCATGTTTATTTCAAGTCAGTTCATAATTTCTTGTTGCAGCATTTTTGTGATGACTGTTATAAAATCATTGCCAGGTAATTAAAAATATCTGTGCTGTTCAGAGTTGGTTGCCTTTGCATATTTAAGTTGAAATTTTCTTCGGTTTTGGCATGGTGATAGATTTCTCTATTCTGGATGTTTTGGGTATTGTGTCATAGACTGTGGATCTTATTAAATCTTCTATTTTCACAAGCCTCCCTTGACAATGCACCAGTGAGAAAATGGGATACCACTTTGTTGCTATCAGTTGGGAAGCAGAAGTCCAAGTTCCTCCACTTGGCCTCTGTTAACCACCTACAAGTGTGTATTTCATTAACTGCTACACTGGTGAAGGGATTCCTGTTACAGTTTCCCAAAGGTCTCCACTGACTCATCCTGGCTGGGAGAGGCAGGAGTTCCTCATTAATGCTCCACAGACATCTCATAATTACCAGGTAGAACTGGGACTCCAAGCTCCTGGAGGAGGGTAGGGGAGTGCATTAGTGATAGGAGGGGATGCAAGTTCAGGCTGCCATTCAGAAAGGGGATGACGCGAAGTGCCTTGTTACAGCTGAACCAGGGTGGAAGTTTATGCAACCCATTCTGTCTTTACTGGTGGGGATGGAGTTGGGGCCGTGGTTTATTCTGTGGTGTTTATCTGAAGTAGACCTGTTATTGTCTAAACGTTTTCCATTATGCTAAGCTTCCTCTTTCCTGAGCCCTTGACTAGAGAAAGCAGGCTTTATGTGGACTTTGTCTTGTTTTCTCTTGTACACATTTCTGAGTTTCTGGTTTCTCCAGCACCCACTCTAGCTTATATGATGCAAAAAGAAAATCCAGGGTGTCATTCCTTGAGTCCCAAGGTCCTCAGCTGTAGAGAATTAAAAATCATACTTACTACAACAGCCACCAATCTCATAACTCATCTGAGGAATTACTGAAAACAAGATATTCTCCTGGCAAGCCTGGAAATCTTGTGACTTGGAAGGCAACCCACCCACCCAATAAATCAGTAGTCCTGGAGGAGCAAAGTTCAGTCCTGTAGTAGTAAGGCTGATGTTAAACATTAAGCATTTTATGGTAGTTCCTTGAAGACTTAGTGGAGAAAAACTGATTGTAGTCTTTTTGGAGATCATTTCCTTAAGTACATACTCTCTTGGCCCTTATGAGATCATTTCCCTGAGCACGCAGCCCCTGCATGTCTTTGCTTAGTAATCTTTCTGCCCATTATGTATCTTCGCAATAAAAGGATTCTGTGAGAAGTGCTCAGGGCTTTCCCTGCACCTGAGGGAAGCCTACCTCTTGCAGCTTGTACTCACAGTCCGTGTCCCCATGATCATTTATGCGGTCGCGACACTCAGCTGGTTGCTTTCCTCTTGGCCCCTTTCAGTATATTTATGTTTGTCTCTATATAATAGATAGAGGTTTTAGCTGTACTTAGTAGGAGGAATAGGGAGAGATGAATCTACTCCATTTTTACCTAAAACCAGAAAATTATAGTCATCTGTAAGAGAGGACATTACTTTCTAAATGTCTTTATATAGGAACCACCAGAGACTGAGAATGCAAAAGATTTGTTTGGTGGCAGACTGACTTCTGACATGATTGCAGAACGACAAGGACACTGCAATTTTACTCAAATGAAAGAACTAAATTGGACTTCATCATCTATCAGGTATAATCACTTTATCATATGCTTTTTGACATTATAATTAAATATATAATTAAACTTTTTTGAAGTTCATACATTCATACATCTTATTTAAACATAATCAATAATTCAGAAAATCATCTACCCTACTTCAATATCTCATACTAACTTTATCACCATTTAAATGCATTAATAATTTTTATTATCAGTGACTATAATTCATTCATTTCATTCTTAGACTTTGTGTCTTTCTTTTCTTTCACAACCAAGCTTTTAAAGTTATACTAGATTTGCTCCTTACATTCATCACTCTAATCCAATGCAATCTTATTTCCATTGCCACATTTCTGTGATACATTCTCACAAATGGCATCACCGTCCTCTTAGTTTTACTTTATCTAACTTGACCCCTCTCAGTCATATGAATGCTAACTCCTCCTTCCTTGTACTTCTTTTTCCCCTGTAATTTCACATTTTCAGTTTTTCTGTAAATGTCTCTCTGGTGGTCTCCTAACCTGAATATTCGATGCTCTCTTGATGATTCCCTAGGAGGGAATATCTACCTGCTATTGCCTAGGCTAAAAAAAAAAAAAGCTGAGAAAAATCTTAGTCATTTCTATCTTTTCTTTGTCCTCCTATTTTGACTCATCACCAAATTTTACAGACATGTTTTCATGTCTTATATAAACCTTCCTTGAAAACCCATCTAATATATACTATCTTCTAAGATGCAAGTTTTATCAGATTACTTCCCATCTCAACCTTGTTTAGTAGATTTCCATTGTTTACAAAATAAAATGTAAAATTCTTTGTGTGATACAAGAGCCTTTAATTACCTGTCTGTCCATTTTATCTTTTGTAATCCTTGTCTTTACTGCACAAGACACTTTATACTTCAGAAATTCTGAAATAGTCTAGTTGCTGAATCTCAGTCATAAGAAGCTGTTTCCTGTTTGCTTCTGCCCCTCTTTGTGCCTGCCACACTGCCTGAAACTCTTTTCTCCTAATTTGCCTGACAAATACTTACAAATCCTCCCAGTGTCATCTCAAGATTTTTCTCCTCCTTGATGTCATCCTTGACTTCCTTAAATAGGTTTTCTTTCTCTAAAATTCCATTATCCCTAACTCTGGCATACACATTTTCATCTTTACTTTAGTTTTTATGTCTCCCATTTATTGAGGGTGGAAACAGTTTCTTTCATATTTGTTGCAGCCATTCCAAACACCAGTTGTCTGAACTTATAATAATGAAAATATGTTGCGTGAATGAATGACTTGTAACTTTCAGTTTAGGATTTGTTTAAAGACGTGGATAGGGAAGGTGATTTGCCATTATCCTCTTCTCTGCCATGTAAATCAAACGAAGGAAGAATAGTTATATGTGTTGCTGTGGAATAGGAATTCTTACAAGGTGGAATGCCATAAGAGTTTTCAGGAGATCCCATCAGAAACTGTTTTCAAAGAACTTACTGGGCGGCGCCTGTGGTTCAAGGGAGTAGAGCACCGGCCCCATATGCTGGAGGTGGTGGGTTCAAACCCAGCCCTGGCCAAAGGCTATATAAAAAAAGAACTTACCTGCCTTTTTATTAATTTTTTTTTCCTTCCCATCTCTAACTCCTTCCTGAGATTTCAGAAATTACCTACTTTACACATACCCTCTTAAGTTAATAACATAAACATCTTATGACTTACTATATCAACTTCACTATGGTTTCGTGAACATAAATGTGAATTTATAAAGACATTGGAGATGTTTATAAGTTTTTTATTATAGTGCCATGTTTCATTTTATTAGAGTCATGTATTTAGCTGATCATTTGACCCATAAATTTTACATTAAAAGCATTTATTTTTCATACCGTTTGTCAGATGAGATTGTTTTTAATGCCTTTGGAAATTGTACATGGAAGGACTTGCCCCTTCCTATATTTTTCCTAGTCTATTAAAGCAATAACTATATATGCTTGTTTAAATTCAGAACTGTGGATTTGATTCCAGTTGACCAGTTTAGAAATGTGTGTAATGTGAATCTACAGAATAATAATCTTACCTCATTCAGTGGATTAATCTATCTGCCTAATGTGAAGGTGAGACACTCACAGATTTTTTTAATTTATTTTAATGTTTTTGATGCAAGTTCTTCTTTACTTTGGATTAAAATGTATTTCCATGTTATTAGAGAAATTGTTCCTGTAATTTTTTATTTTGTTTTATACTAAGAAAGAAAAATTATTTTGGTTTGATCCCAGTTTTCTGTGATTGTTTTATATGCTGTATTAGATATGAATCATATTCTTCAGTGAGAGATAGGATGGATCTCTGCCTCTATAGGGAGCAGATATGGAATGAAGTTGATGATTCCAACTTCATTGGAAGCATCTCATTGCCTCCTTTCCTACTGCCTTGACTCAGCCATCTACTAGGGCCATTTAAACAGAGGGAAATACCCATCTTTTCGACTAAGGGGTTACTTTATCCTCATCAGGCTTGGAGAAATCAGGAGTGCAAGTTAAGAAAGTTGAGTAGTTTCGCTTGGCGCCCATAGCACAGTGGTTATGGCATCAGCCAATACACTGAGGCTGGTGGGTTCGCACCAGGCCCAGGCCAGCTAAACAACAATGACAGCTGCAACAAAAAAATAGCCAGGTGTTGTGGCAGGTACCTGTAGTCCCAATTACTTGGGAGGCTGAGGCAAGAGAATCGCTTAAGCCCCAGTTTGATGCCATGGCTCTCTACCGAAGGTGATGCAGTGAGACTCTGTCTTCAAAAAAAAAGAAAGTTGAGTACTTTTATCTGAAGTGTTGTAATTTCCCAACGTGTCAGATAACAGAAAACACATTCAGGATGGATGCAGTGGCTCATACCTATATTCCTAACACTTTGGAATTTGACAGCCAAAGTGAGGATCATTTGAGGCCAGGAGTTCAAGTCCAGCCTAGGCAACCCAGAAAGACCTTTTCTCTGCAAAAAAAAAAAAAAAGTTTAAAAATTAGGCAGGCATGCTGGTATGTGCCTATAGTCACAGATACTTGGGAGGTTGAGGCAGAAAGATTGCTTGAGCCCCGGAGTCTGAGATTTTAGTGAGTTATGATCATGCCACTACACTCTACCCCAAGTAAAAAAGTAAAACCCTCTCAAAAAAAATTCAAAAGTATATCTAAATAATTTTGGATATAAAAATTTATATTGTTTGAAACACTGTTATTAAATAATGTGCTATATTATATATTTTACCCATAGATGTATTAATAGTTTCCAGGATGTCTGATTAGTAAGACATTCTTTCTGTAGGTCTTATGTCTGAACTATAATCATATTGAATCAATAATACCCAGAGTAAAGCCTCAGACTCATTTAAGCAACAGACAGCTACTCTACCAGAAAGTGCCTTCAAGTGGCTATGGACAGCAAGGGACTTCCAAAACAAACAGGTACTATTATTATTTTTACAGTTATAAATAATTTTAAAAGCAGTTAATTCCCTTCCCTGCTAATTGCAAGCACCCAGCTGTCATATCACCCTTTTGAGAGTTTAATGCTAGGTCATGTCCTGTGTACCTCTCAGCCTGAGTTCAAGGTATTATGGTAGCAGTGCCACCTTGCTAGGAAAGGAAATGGGAGACCACGTTTCCCAAGCACACTTTGGACAACAATACCTACCACCTTATAACAGTCAGCAATGGAATTGTAAACTAGCCTTCCCAATCCACTGCAGCTACCCGTAATACTAACACAAACCACTTGGGTCCTCCTGGATGGCTTCACCACTGCTACTACCACCTCACACTTTGCACTGCAACACTTGCCCTCTGCTCCAACTACTAGCTTCTGAACAAGCCCCCCCGAAGGCCCAAGAATTAGTCCCATAGGCCATACAAACACCATTGTCAGCATAATCTGCCTTGGGGCCTAAAATTAGGCATACTTAGCTCACTGCTTCCATCACTGGGGCCCAAAGACTGGCTTATCTGGCATTCAAGTCCCCAGAAAAACTTTACCACAGCCTCAACTAATAACTTTTCCCTGAACAACCCAGGAAATCACAGATACCACTGAAATTGTGTACTAATGATAAGTGATATCCTTCTAAGAAATCATAAAAAGACTACTGCAGGTACCCAAAAACAAAGCCAAAGTGTCCTAGTCAACCAACAGTGTATATACGTCTTTAGGGAAAAATTCTCTACTTCAAAACCAATTCAAAATAATTAAACAAGTGACTGCTACACCATGTGCTCAGATATCAACAGAAGGATATAGGAAACATAAAAACTCAAAACATGATACCTCCAAAGGACCATAACAATTTTCCAGTAACAGATCCCAATCAAAAAGAATTCCTTGTAATGTCAGTTAGAGGATTCCAAATATTGATTCAACAGAAACTCAATGAGATGTAAGAAAAAAACAATACAAAGAAATCAGAAAATCAATGAGAAATTTACCAAGGAGATAGGTATCTTAAAAAAAATTCTGGAGCTGAAAATATTATTCAAGGAAATATAGAACCTATTGAAAATGTTGAAACTTTATTAGGTCAAGCAGAAGAAAGAATTTTAAAAAATGAATAGAGTTCTTTTGAAATAATCTAGTCAAATAAAAATAAGGAAAACAGAATAAAAAATAATGAGCAAAGCACTCAAGATGTCTGGGATTATATAAAATAACTAAACTTAGTGATTATTTTTATAGCCAAGGGAGAAAAGAGATCAAAAGGTCCAGAAAACTAATCTAAGGAAATGTTCAATGAAAACCTTCCCAGGGCTACCGAGAGAGTTAGACATGCAGATATGGGAGGCCCAACGATACCCAGACAAAAAGAACTTTACTATGGCATGTTTATAACTAAAATGACTTAAGTTGAAGTGAAAGAGAGAATTTTAAAATTCACAAGAGAAAAGCACTTAACCACTTATAAAAGAAGTCCCATAAAATTAATAGGGACCCTCTCAGCAGAAACCTTAAGAGGCTAGAAAGGAATGGGATGGCATTTTCAAAATACTGAAAGAAAAACACTATTAGCTGAAAATTTTATATCCTACCAGAATAAGCTTCATAAATGAAGAATAGTCTTTCCCAGACAAGCAAATGCTGATAGAATTTGTCACCACTACACTAGCCATACAGAAAATATTTACAGGAGTCTTAAACATGGAAATAAAAGGTCAGTATTACGTGAAAACACATGAAAATATAAAACTCACAGTCCTATAAAACAATTACACAAAGGAAGAAGAGAAAAGAATTAAATGGCAACATGAAAGAAGTTAGGGAAACCACAAAGACAAAAAGAGAATTTATAAAACAACTAGAAGTCACCAGTATGACAAGAACAAAAGCAGTGCTACATCCTTTATTACTGAACATCACTATGGTTGCCTCTGAGGGCTTCCCCTTGGAAGACCTGGGGACTGACACCAGCACCTAGTCTACCTTTTTCAAAGCAATTTTGGAACTCTTTTTCTGGAATGGATATCAAAGTTGTCATATGACGTCTGACAATTTAGTTCATAAACTTGCCCTAGAAAAAATGATATATACCTCATTGCAGAATATCACTACAGTCGCCAGATGGCCAAGGGAAGTACTTCAAAGTTAACTGTAATCTACTGTTGGCATTTCTCAACAGCAGGTCCGGGAATAGATGTGAAGAGCCCTGCCCCTAGGGACTATGAAGCTGATACTGATACCAGCCCACCAGATCAGGCAGCCAAACAGTCTTAACACTTACTGAGCAGGTGGAGAAATAAAATCTTTTACTGAAAGGCAAACATTGAGTACTACAAGTACTCAGACCCATATTATACACAGACCATCACAATCAAATACCAGCAAAAGTAAAGATACCCAATAACTAAATGGACAGAAATTTTCTGTTCAAAGAAGATAAACATATGATTAACAAATGTCACTAATCATCAGGAAAATGCAAATTAAAACCACAACAAGATACCATCTTATTCCAATTAGAATGACCAGTATTAAAAAGTCAAAAAATAATAGAGGTCATGGATGTGGTGAACATTTATAGACTGTTGGCAGAAATGTAAATTAGTACAGACCCTGTGGAGATCAGTATGGAGATTTCTCAAAGACTAAAAGTAGATCTACTATTCAATCCAGCATTCCCACTACTGGGCATCTACCCAGAGGAAAATTATAACAAAAAGATACCTGCACTTATATGTTCATCACAACACAATCACAAAGTTATGGGTTCGACTTAGCATATAGCTCTGTGGCTAGCATGCCAGCCACATGCACCAGGGCTGGGGGGTTTGAACCCAGCCTGGGCCTGCTAACCAACAATGACAACAACAGCAAAAAAAAAAAAAAAAATATATATATATATATACACACACACACATACATATATATATATATATATACACACACACACACATAGCCGGGTGTTGTGGCAGGCACATGTAGTCCCAGCTACTTGGGAGGCGGAGGCAAGAGAATCGCTTAAGCCCAAGAGCTTGAGGTTGCTGTGAACCATAATTTCACAGCACTCTACGGAGGACAACATAGTGAGACTCTTGTCTCAAAAAAAAAAAAAAAAAAAGATATGGGATCAACCTAAACACCCATCAACTGATGAGGGGATGGAGAAAATGTGGTATAAGGGATGTCTGGAAAGTATCCAGCCATGAAATGTAAAAATAGCATCAACAATAGCTGGATACTTCTGGGAAAGCCTTTGTATATACCATAGAGCAGTAAGAATGAATGAAAGAATGCCTTTCATAGCAACTTGGATGGAACTGGAGGCCATTATCCTAAGTGATGTCACTCAGGAACCTAAAAATAAATTCCACATGTTCTTACTTATAATTGGGAGCTAAACTGTGGCTACACAAGGACACATAAGAGTTGCATAATGGATATTGGAGACTCAGAAAGAGAGATTGTGGTAGGGGGGCACAGAATGAAAAATTATCTATAGAATACAAGGTTCACTACTTGGATGATTGGTATACCTAAAGCCAAGATTCCACCACTGTACAGTGCCTTATAAAATATGTACATGTAACAGAATTCAACCTGTACCCTCTCAATCTATTAAAATTAAAATTTTTAAAAAAGCATTTTGCTAGGTGAAAGAAGGCAAACCAAAAAGACCACATATTATGTAATACCATTTGTATAAAATATCCAAAATAGACAAATCCACAGATAGTACATTAATGTTTGCCTAGGGGTGCATGGGAAGGGGCTGTATGGGGATGGGACTTGATAGCTAACGAGTACAAAATTTCTCTTTGAGCTGATAAAAACATCCTAGAATTAGCAGTAATAAGTGCACAACTTTGCAAATACACTACAGCAAGTCTGTATCCAGCTGCATGGATTTAGGTTTCTTTTAGCATTTATTTGTATATTATTTACCTGGTCACTTAATGCCTCAGCACCAATGGAAAAGATATTTCATGAAAAAAAGGAAGTCATACCTCCCACTTTCCTATACATTCTTGATAGAACATCCCTCTCTATATACACACACACACACGTTTGTCCCCATGTCCCAATTAAGACCTTTCTTTGTAGTTTTTATCACCTTTATTGAAGTATAAATTACATATAATAAAATTTACCAATGGATAGGTACAGTTTAATGAATTTTGACAAATATAGTCGTATAAGCACTACTACTATCAAAATACAAAATATTTTCATCCTATAAGGTTCCCTCTTATCCCTTTGCAATCTCCTTCCCATACCTTGGCTCCTAGAAAAAACCACTGATCTGTGAAGTTTATGTACTATGTTCACTCATTTTAGTTTATAATTCAGTGGTTTTTACTAAATTTATAGAGTTGTGCAATCACTTCTGCAGTACAATTTTGGAACATTTCCATCACACCAGAAAGATTCTTCATGTCCATTTGCAGTCAATTCCCTCTCCCACTTCTAATGTGAGACAACCTCTTCTCTGCTTTCTGTATAATTGCATTTTATAGACTTTTCATATAAATGGAACCATATAATAGATGGTCTTTTGCATCTGTCTTAACATAGTGTTTTTGCGGTTCATTCACATTATGACATGTATTAGTAATTTATTCCCTTTTATTGGTAAATATATGGATATTTCATTATATAGATAATGACACATCATATTTATCCATTCACTAATCCATTTGGATTGTTTCTACTTTTTGGCCAGTATCAATAATGCTGCTATAAACATTTATGTGTAAGTATTTGTGCTCATATTTTCATTATGTTTGTCTTAATGAAATACCTATTTTACCAGTTTAACTATTTAAGAAACTAAAGTTCTTTCCAAAGTGACTGTACCATTTTTCATGAGCACTAAAAGTATTTGAGGATTCTAATTTCTCCACATCTTTGCCAATGCTTGTCATTGCCTGTTTTTTTAAATTATAGCTCTTCTAGTAGATTTGAACTAGTATCTGACTGTGATTTTAATGTGATTTTCCCTATGATTAACAATGCCAAGCAGTTTTTCATATGCTTATTGTCCATTCATATATCTTCTTTCATGAAATGTCTATTCAAATTTTTTGCTTATTTTTTAATGAAGTTGCTTGGCTTTTTATTATTGAGTTATTTAAATATGATAGCTATAAACCCAAATAAATGATTTACAAATATTCTCTCAATCTGTGACTTGTCTTTTTGTTTTCTTAAATGGTGTCTTGGAAGAAATTTAAATTTTGATAAGGTCCAATTTACCAATTTTTTCTTTTACAGATTGTGATTTCAGTGTTGCATCTAAAAGATAGAATTTTATACGAATTAAATCCTATAATAAATAGTCTTTTATGTTGGGCTTCTTTCACTTAGAATAATGATTTTGAGATTCATTCATGTTGTTGCAAGTGTTAGTCATTCATTTCATTAAATTGCTGAGTAAGTCCATTATATGACAAAATGTCCATTTATCACCCATGGACATTTGGGTTGTGCCCAGTTTGAGGACATTATGACTATAGCAACTATGAACATTACATTTATACACATTCTTTCTTGCGGCCTATTCATATTTGGTTTTTCTAAGAGTTTTACTGAAGTATAGTTTATGTACTATGTTTTTATGTACTTTGATTAACCTAAGGTCACAAGATTTGCCCATGTTTTCTTCAAAAATTCTGATGGTTTTGCTCTTCCACTTAATCCTATAATAGCCTTTTTGAGTTAATGTTTGTATATGTGGTAAGGTCTAAATCCATCTTTTTGCATGTGGATATTCAACTGACCCAGTACCATTTGTTTAAAACACTGTCCTTTACCCCACTGAATTGCTTTGGTACCTTTGCTGAAAATCAATTGACTATGAATGTAAAGGTTTACCTCTGGACTCAGTTCTGTACCATTGATCTAGATGTCTGTCCTTTAGTCAGTACCAAATTGGTTTGATTACTATAGTTTTGTAATAAATTTTGAAATCAGTACTTTAAGCCCTCCAACTTTGCTCTTTTTCAAGATTGTTTTGGATATGCTGGGTTATTTTCATTTTCTTATAAATTTTAGAAAAAGATGGTTATGGGTGATGGTAGCCTCCTGGACTTTCAGTAGAGGTTGTTATTAAATCTACTGATCAGTTTGGCAGAATTGCCAACTTAGTAATATTGAATCTTCTAATCCATGAACATAAAATATTTATCACTTTATTTAGATACTCTATAATTTCTCTCAGCAATGTTTTGTAGATTTCCATATATAAATTCTGAACTTTTGTAAATTTATTCTGAAGTGTTTTATTCTTTTTTATACTATTGTGAAGCAAATTATTGTTAATTTCATTTTCAGATTATTTATTGCTGATATGTAGAAATTTAATTAATGTGTATATATTAATCTTTTATCCTGTGACTTTGCTAAACTCATTAATTAGTTCAAGTAGGCTTTTGTTGGATCCTGTAGAATTTTCTAAATGTAGGATCATGTCATTTGAAAATAAAGGAATAAAGATTGCTTTACTTATTCCTCTCCAATCTGGATACATTTCTTTTTTCTTTTTCATGTATGATTAGATTGGCTATTACTTTTAATTATAATACTTTATTTACCTCTTTATTATTTACCATATAAAAATATTATTAAAATAATAAAAGTATTATTATCATATCAAATATAAAGGGACTACATAGTGTAGCTTAATTCTGATATGTTAATAAATACATTGCTTTTCTTCTAACTTCAAATTATAGTGAAACATACCACATTGTATTTTTATGATATAGCTGGCTTGAAATTATGTTTGTGGCCTGAAACCTACCTGTATGTTTCAGAGATACAACGTTCAATGAAAATTTGCCTCCAATAATGCACAGTTTAGAAGTGCTTCATTTGGGCTACAATGGAATTTGTAATTTAATCCAGCTACAACTTAACAGACTAAGAAATTTAAAATTCCTCTTTCTACAGGGTGAGTAGAAAAACTATTAATGTCCAACTCTTTATTACTTAGATTTTATTAAAAGCTTATATTATCTTCATGTTTTGAAAATCAAATATAAGCATCAACATTTACTCAAACAGATTGGCAAAAGTATTGTAGTAATCACAAATGGATTTGGGGGGGTTATTTTTGTTTTGTTTTGTTTTGTTTTTTGTAGAGACAGAGTATCACTTTATTACACTCAGTAGAGTGCCATGGTATCACACTGCTCACAGCAACCTCCAACTCTTGGGCTTAGATGATTCTCTTGCCTCAGCCTCCCGAGTAGCTGGGACTACAGGCACCTGCCACAATGCCCAGCTATTTTTTTGTTGCAGTTCAGCTGGGGCTGGGTTTGAACCCACAACCCTCAGTAAATTGGGCTGGCACCCTACCCACTGACCCACAGGCACTGCCCTTCTTTGGATACACACACACACATACACACATATACATATATGTATATGTATATATGTACATGTATATATGTGTACATACATATATATATATATAAATTTTTTTTTTGTAGTTCTTGGAGGGTGCTGGGTTTGAACCTGCCACCTCTGGTATGTGGGGCAGCACCCTACTCCTTTGAGCTATAGGTGCCGCCCAGTTATTCATGTAGTTTTAAAAACAAATTTTGAAGGAAAATGCAATATTCTGGGAGTATATACAGTATTACATGTAATTTGATTTTATATCATATTCAACATAAAAAACAATAAAAAGTAAACAGTGAGTAATTTAGAAGTATTTATTAAACCCTAGATTATGCTAAGTACTTACTATGAAAGATATGGAACTACTATATATTATTATAATTATATATAATTGAGATCCTTGATCATAAGTAGTTTTAAATCTGGTGGAGAATAACTGAGACAAAGATGAATTAAGTTCTACTTAATCTGTTACTAAAATAAGTACAATAGAAGTTCAGAGAAAAGAGATATCAAATGATTAACTCCTCTACATATCTAGCACTCTTTGAAGGGTTGGTAGAATTTAGATCGAAAGTAAGCACTACTGAGAGCTTTGCCAGCAAAGGGAAGAGGAAAACAGTCACAGGGCGTGGCATGACTGTGGTGTCTGTGGCCAGTACTTGAAAAGGTACCAACTTGGTGAGAACAAAAAGTATGCAATTTTCTGAGAGAATTATTAAGCTTATAAACATGATCAACTTGATAGATAGTGCTCACTTAATATTATTTTATGTTGCTTAAGTCAGTCAGTCATTATAGTAATATTTTTTATTTTGTGGAATATTGAAGTTGAAAATGTAGAGAGGGACAAAATTATGGAAAGCCAGGAAGACAAATTTGGATTGTCATCTACAATAGATAGGAACTATAAATTTTTAGAAAAATGGCATGAGAAAACACAGGGTTTAAAATGTTAGTCTAGCAATAATTATTCAGTGTCACAGGAGAAAGCCTGGGAGACCCATCAGTGAGATACATGGGGAGAAATCTAGATAGTTGACCTGAGTATAGTAACTTTTATCTAACAGGCTGGCTTTTCTAGACCATATTTTAAAAAAATTAATGCATCTTTTTGCCTATCAAAAATATTTATGATTTGAATCAAGAGCATGTAGACTTAGCCTTAAAAACATGAGAAATTAAATATAATGACAGATCTTCTAAAAAGATATGTTAACATACAAAAAAGCACACAACCTAGCCCTGGGAGGTCTATTTTAATAATGAAAAGAGGGAGTTTATCTGTTGCCATTGATAGCATGGTAACTCAAAGAAGAACAGCCATGTGCAAGAAGAGAGGAAGTTTACTCTGACAATAATGATGGCCATCTATGGAGTCTTTATAGTCAAGATTATCATTTATATTTTATAAAAAAAAATTGAATTTCAATGAGGTTTAATAATTTTTTTGCTGAAACCACAAAAGTGTTTCAGTCTAGGTCCAGTTACTTGTTATACAAAGATCCAATTATTGAAAGAATGAGGATTGCCAATGAAGAAAGGATTTTTAAATATGAAGGAGAATGGGAGAAGTTACTGCTTCAAATCTGTCTCTACAGCTAAGTGAGATTATGGCTTTTAAAGGAGGGTCATGTGCCTTAGGCCAGGTTGTGGTGTAACTAACAAGGGGCTACTGCACATTAGGATAGGTTGAAGGGGTGGGTGAATCTTGGCATCAGAAAGTCTACCCAGGAGGCCTCAGAATCTCAGCTTCTTTGTTTTGGAGAAAATCCATCATTTCTAGGAAGCAACTCAAAAGCTCAAGTATTAATAAAAGTTAAATTTAGTTAGTGTAAAGGATTATAAATAAATGTATAGATGTCATTGAAATTTGGTCATGGGGCTAGTTACAACTTGCCAAGTTTATACCAATGTGTGTTATGATACAGAGTTATAAACCGAATATCTGCCACCAAACACATGCATTCTCTCTCTTGCGTGAATGATATAATGACCTGACAAGAGTTGTGTGAGTGAGAGTGATAAGTAAGAGGTAAGTCTGAAAGGCAGTTTAAACCAGAAGAAATATTAGGACTTAGTGACTAATTAAATATATAATGAAGAAAAAAATAATTTCTAGGATGTTTTCATAATTTTGTTACATTGGAAAAGTTGAGGTAATAAAGCTAGAGATAAAGTCATTGGGAATTGTTCATTTGGGTATGAAAAAACTTTGAGAAATAGAAATGGAAATTTTTTCAAGTATTAAGGTTAGTACTGGACCACAAGTCAGGAATGGAAATACATATTGTAGAATCTCATTAAAAGTGACAAGTGAAGTAATAAATGTATGTGCTTAGTTAGGAAATAAGTATAGAGAAAGAAGAATGAAAGAAAGGCCAAAAAGAGTTTTGGAGATATAGCCACACCTCCGACCCCACCCCCACCACACTAAGAAGGCAGGAAAAAAAGGAACCAACATATGCAAAATCTAAATATCAGGGAAAGAGAGGATGAATGGCCTCAAAAGTCACATGATGAAAAGAATTAGGTTTAGAGGACAGGGGAAGGAAACCATTGGTAACCTAGGCCTAAACCGAGATTTAGAAATGTGATGAGGGGAAAAGTTGAAATGAAAATAATGTAGAAGAAAGAGGCTGGATAGAAAAAGCAACAGATAGAGGTCATGCACACTTAAAAAGCTTGTCCCTGAAAAGAAATTAAGAGATTGGAGGGTGGCTAGTGAGGGTATGAACATACTTTGAAGTTCATAATGAAGTGAGTCAATTTAAAGATACTGAACCTGGGGGGTCAATTCTGGTTCATTGTCTGGAGGGAAGCCAGGGAAAGGTGTAAGGGAGTACTCCAGTATCAGCAGTGATGTGATGAGACCATGTCAAGTCCACAGGTAAGGTACACAACTACATTTCAGCTACTGTATGCCTATCTTCTTCAGAGAAGCTTCTCTTCAAGTCTCTTGCCCACCCTGAGATGGGATCACTTGTTCTTTTCTTGCTAATATGTTTGAGTTCTCTGTGGATTCTGGTGATTAAACCTTTGTCAGAGACATAACCTGCAAATATCTTCTCCCATTCTGAGGGCTGTCTGCTTGATTTATTTACTGTGTTTTTGGCTATGCAGAAGCTTTTTACTTTGATCAGATCCCAGTAATGTATTTTTGGTGTTGTTTTAATTGCCTGAGGAGTCTTCCTCATAAAATATTTGCCCAGGCCAATTTCCTTAAGTGTTTTCCCTACACTTTCTTCTAGTATTTTTATAGTTTCATTTAGTTTAAATCTTTAATCCAGTGAGAGTCTATCTTAATT